TGCACAAGCAAAAGCACCATCTTGACCAAGTGAAGTGACAAAGTACAATGTTCATGCGGGATTCATAAATCAGGCTTTGAAGATCCAATCCAACAGGTGTACCCTCAGCATGCTGACATGATAGACAACACTGTGGTTAAGAATTTACTGCTACTTCCCAAGTAAATATTGCAGGATCACTTCTAACTGCAAAGATTGTCTCATTTCTGAAAAGTCAACATACCTGCTGCCCTGATTTTACTAAATTATAAACTTAAAAAGTCATTACATTGTTTATAATTTGCAAAGATTATTATTTTATAATTTAGGTAGTTGAACTTCTGTAAATCACATGCAACAAGTTATAAATTCCTCCAAATGACCACCATAACTGTTTTCACAAAAAGTACATGTATCACTCAGTCAAATCACTTTTAATTTTGACTGTTGTGCTTTCAGGGTGCAAATAAGCAAAAAAAAAAAAAACCAAACAAACCAAAAAACAACAACAACAAAAAAAGTCAGATGGTGGATATTCTAAAAGTGACATGTTATAAATTAACTTATTCCACTCCACTCACACAATATTCCTGAGAAGTGTTATGAGAAATGTTGAGGTACAATGACTTTGCACAAACATGGGTGGAGTTGAAATTCACCATTGATAGGAGACCAGCTCAGCCTTAAGAATGCTAGCACTGCATTTGTCTTCATTACGTTACCCAACAACATGTGAACCAAACAAACATGACTGTAATTATTCTGACATTCCAATGTTTTATAATGTGATTTAACATCATTCCAGGAAACGAAAAATCTCACTTGTTTGACCTCCATAATACGCTTAAACAAAACCCACGCTTTAGTCTCATAAACCCAATATTTGCTGTAGAAACAATTTAACTATAACTGCACTTATTAAGCTTCCTAGTAAAAAATCCATAAATAATTCTCTTCAGTAGCAAGAGTCAAAGTCCAAGTTTTGGTCATTTAAAAAAGTCTATTCTTTTCAAGTTGTTGCTGTTCCTTCCAAAACCCTTCTGTCCCTCTAAACATGCTTTCATGGAGAATGTGGTTGAGCAGCACTTGCCCTTGTACACTAATGGGAATTCATTTCAGTGGTGTGTTCTTCTCACCTTGTGAAAGGCTTTCCCACTGATATTTTTGTGTGTTCACGTTTCTCATTAGTCGGAGTAGACTGTGTCATTATTCCACTAACTTCTCTATAGTATCTGTCCAGATAATAAGAGGTGAAGTTTCAATAAATAAATACCACAAAGGAGAAGTACAAGTAATGCAATTGTTTGAAGCTTCTCCATTATTTGAAAGGTATTCAGTGATATTCCCCTTACATGATCCTCAGTCCTCTGACTGCAAGACTGAATTCTTCTCTGGTTTGGCATTTCTAGATAATTGTAGGGATTCCAGACACAGAGTTACTTAGCTCATGCTACCAGTCTCCTGACAAAGGTAGAGCTGCTTTAAAACACTGAAAACCATTTAACTATGAGTCAATACACAGTATGGTAGCACAAATGTAAATTTTTATTGATAGACTCAGAAAAGTGAAATAGATAAAATTACAGTCACCTAGGAATAATTTGGTGAAAAACACGGACACAAGCTATTTCCTGAAAACAGTGAGGCACTGCTGAGGGAGAAAAGCAGAGGCTACTTTAAAAATAACCTTTCTCCTAAGCACAAAAGAACACTGAATGTCCTTATCAGGGAGGAGTAGCAAAGCCTGTCTCCCCAGCCCTACAAAGAAGTGCTTGGAATTCAAGACACAGCTTACCATCACAAGTAGAAATTCAGGTCAGTAAAAGTAGGAGGCAGTAAGGCTTGTAGAAACATGCCTGCCTGCCTATTCAGAGGCTTCACATTGTGATTCGATCGGATCTGCCTAATGCACGCTTCAAACAACACGAGGTTATTCAGAAATGTACGCACACACACACACAATGGCTCTCTCCTCCCTTCTCACAAGGTCTCAGAAGCTTGTCTACAGCGTCCCTACAGGCTAAATCCACAGTTCTGCTTCCCTAAACACTGAAAATCAATATTTCCACTCAAGCAACAACTAGGTTTTGGGATCTGTGAGCTACTTTAAGCTCATGAGGAGTTTATATTCACAAGTACTATTTAAAAAACAAACAAACAAAAACACAAAACCAAAAACAAAACCAAGCAAACAAAACAAAACCACAAAACCCCCGTAGTTATTACCATTAACCTCTTGGGACTCTAAGAACCTCCAGGTGTTTGGAAGATGTTGCAGGGAGAACTCAAAGAGGAAATTAAGGGAAAAATTCATGTTATTCTTGGCTCCTTCTCATCTGCTCCAATTATTTCCTTTTCTCATTCTTCTGAATGATCCCTCAAAACACTGTGTGCACTTATCTTTTAGACTTATATATGACAATTGCATATTTTTATCTTCTTTCTCACATAAGAAATTACACTAAGTATCGAGATTGATAAATATTTTAGTCGTTTCCAGAGGAAGTTATATTTATGCAAACTGAAGCCTGTGCTGACTGAAGCCTGGTTATACGCTACATAACCAGTATATTTCTCAGGAATATTTCGGTCAAATGCCTATCATTTGACCTCAGTATTCTGAAGATTTCAAAAGGAGTCATACACAAAGAGTTTAGCTCACTATATTTGCCAAAACAAAAGCTTACCCTAGAGTCTACGTGGACTTTCTATTTTAAAATAACAAGTAAATTTAACAAAGTATTTCTAGTGAGATTAGGAAAGTGAATTGTGTCACAATAACATTGCTTTTTGTTTATCAGCCAATATTACATACAGAAATTTTTGTCAGTTACAGCAAGTCAGCTACTAATCTGAGCAACATCCACTCTAACTAGCAGCTAGATTACAATTTGACTCCGGTTGACCTACAGGTAAAAATTAAACCATGGATTCTGAAACCATTTGTAGTAGGAGAAAGAGTAGGATCAATAAGGGATACTCATTTCTCTAGACAGGGAAATCATCTGCCTCATCAATTGCACAGGATCCCAAAAAATAGCTAATGTAGTCATGCTGAAGGCTGGAGGAGATGACAAGGAATTAGATGACTCAAACACTTCTTGTTTCCTTACACTAAAGTTTAGTTCTAGGAGAATGAAAATAAGTTTAAAACTTCCATGTTTAGAGACATGCAATACAGTAACTACATTTTTCTCCAGATGCTGGTTCCCACATAACCAGCTAATATTAGTTTTTATTTTTTCATTTTCCTCTGTCACTTAACCAGGATCTTTAGACACCCCCTGCAAAGCCCACAGAGAAAAAGCCTCCATGATACAACACTGAGAACAGCAGGAACCTAGCCCATAATGAAAGCTCTTAAATGCTGCGATAACACAGATGAAGAGAAATTGACAGAAAAGAGATGTCACAGCTCTTGTCCTGTATAACAGCACTTTCAATCACTAAATGATCTGTTCTTCTCTGGCCAGGCTGTACTCAGATGTACTGCTGTCTAGATGAACAAAGTTCACTGTCACCAGCACGCAAACTGTTATCGGTATTATGTGTAATTTTCTTGCTGTCCAACCGAGAAAAAAAGTCAGCAAGTGCACTAATGTGCAAATTAAGTTGTTTGTCTAATTCAGATTTGGTTTGTTGGGTTAATAGATAGTTAAGAGGGTTACATTGCTGCTGCTAACAGAAGATGTACCTTGTAAGCAGACGAGGTAAGGAGAGAGCAGAATCAAAAACCCCTATCAATAACCTCCTTGCAGACTGGAGATGTGGGTGAGCTAAGTATGTGACCCTTTTCTACCGCTTCAACAAAAACGAAATACAGACCTACGCATTATTGTTCAACCTATGAGGCACGAAACAGAAACTAAACCTAGCAATACTAAGCTACCACAGCATGAAACAACTGCCCATCTGGGGAAGAAGTTTCTCTTATGGACACTTGATGGGCCTGGAGAATAAAATTCTGAAGACACTGTTTACTCAGTTGGCTACTCAAATGGATAATTAGTTTTTATTAGCTGTAAGGCAGCCACTAAGCATTTTGAACACTTCATGCCAAAACATATCAGAACACATACCTGTCATCATGCCACTGAACTGAAAACTAGTACCACACAGTAAAAGGCTGGAGGAAGTGAACAAAAATAAACCTTCAGATGGGAAAATTCAGTGCTACATCCTTCTGCAATGCAAAAAATGCCATTGCCCTCACTGCTGAAGCATAAAGAATATCAATTATATTTAAATCCTTCTGATGTTTGTCATTAAAGAACAAATTTAGTAGAGCACTTACACCCAGATTTCCTTAATAGAAAACTGTCACTTTATATGAAAATATGGAAATTCATAGGTCACATGCATAATTAACAAGAGAATGCTGTATGAGTTTCAATTAAACAGCGAAAGCAGTGAGGTCTTTCAAAAGCGAGTTTGAAAGGAACTGTACCTTTTCCAGAGTATTTCTTAATGCAGAGAGGTAGGTGCTGGTGGCCTGAAGCCTGTCCCTGGGCTCTCCTTGTATTTATCTGTCCATCCTGCAGCGGTGCAGGCACCGACGCACCGTACCTGTCCGGGTTCGGCGCCCCTCCAGGCGCTCTCCCCTGCTGACCGCCTCCCAGGCGGGCAAGTTTAGCCCTGTTTAATCACTTCTAAGACCCTTTAAACACACCCAAGGTTTGCCCCCTACAAAGGGGTTTAGGGGTGCTTGGTTTTACAATTTAAGAACTAGTTAAGCTCTGGCAGTCTTGTTGTCTTTTTTCCTCCCCAGCGCACACGCAACCCCGGCGAATTCAGCCCAGCGCTCCAGGACAGCCCGCGGACGCACTCTGGGGTCTGGGGTCCGTGCCGGCGTGCGGGATGAAGGCTGGGAGCCGAGGGCAGGCTCTGCAGCCGCGGGGCGGGCGAGCGGCGGCTCCAGCCCCGCGCAGCACCGGCCCCGCAGGCTGAGCTCTGCCCGCGGCGGCCCCGCTCCCCTCCCTCCATACCTCCCTCCCTGCTCCCCGCCGCTCGCCCCCACTCACCGCCACCGAGCCCGAGGAGGAGGCGACGAAGACGCGGATCACCATCTTCACCTCATGAGCCGCGGCGGCGGGAGCGGACGGGACGGGGCAGCGAGGCTGCGGGGGCAGCGAGGCTGCGGGAGCCGCTCCCCCGCACGGACGGGGCCGGGGCTGCCCGGCTCCACCCCGCCACCGCCCCCGAGGGCGGCCACGGCCCGCAGCACCGCCGCCCTGCCCTGCCCTGCCTTGCTCGGCGGCCGCAGCCCCTCTCGGTGAGCCGGGTCCGGCTCCCGGCTGGCAGGAGGCAGGCGATAGCGGCGGGAGGCGGGAGTGTGGGGGCGGCGCGCAGGGACCGACGGGCGCTGTAGTCCTGCCCGGGCGGGGACAGCTGCAGGACGGAGGTGGGAGGCAGCCTGCCCGCGACCGGCTGCCGGGGAAACAGAGGCGAGAGGCAACCTGCCCACCCCCGGCTGCCGTGCCCAGCGCCCGGGGCTGCCCGGTGCTACCGGGAGCCTTTGGGAGGCTGAGAGGGGCTTGCGCCGCCCTCCAGGTGTGTTGCCCAAAGGTCCAGGTGAACAAGGGGTGAAATTGACCCACCCCGCCAAGAGGGCTGCTCCTGGTCCTCCTACCCCGTGCAGAGCTGCAGGCTCTGCTCCGCCGGGGCCGGGTCTGGACCCTCTGGCCACCGCTTGCTGTGGCAAAGCGGCGGAAAATGAAGCCGTTCTAAGGCAGGCATCCCTGACGAGGCAAGCTAGAGTGACAACACAAGCTGGGTAGGTCACTGGGTAAGAGAGCTGTCCTACACCAGGCATCCCAAAAGACTTAAACGGTGCTACCAGTTTTCATTCTCTGGTATAGATGTACAGCTCCCAATACTGTCAGCCGCGGAACAGATGTTATTAATCAACGGGATAAGCAGATAACCCCAAATAACCCTTCATCTGTCAGCTCATCTGCAAGGAACCAAGGGGAATCCCTACAGCCCTTGGGTCAGCTTTTGGGTCTGTGAGGACATAGCCTGTCTTTATTTAAAGTCTAAGAACCACATACCTGGCAGCCTTACACATGTTACTACAGTTGCAACTCTCATTTTCTTGCTTCTCTACATGCAGCCATATGGTTACTCATTTCCTCTGACTCAAGCTCTCCCTTTCCACCGTTTCACACCAATGCTGAAGAGCATGGTGTCAGCCTCTTTCACACCTTTGCATTGCCACAGCCCTCAGTGATCTTCCAATGTCCAGACTAACCACAGACCTTGACTTGCTGCTAAATATGTCCTTAAAACTTTCTTTACATTTTAATATTGATCATCTGTTTTGAAATGCTGCGGGTCTTGAGGAAGAGCAAGAGCCATAAAATGCTCAGTGCTCACTTTGAGCTTGATTTATCTTGTGAAAGTCATTGGGAAGCTTTCCACTAACTTCACTGGAGTGGAGCAAAATGTCAGCACTATATAAAGTCCAATCCTAAAATGTGAATTCAAGTACCAATCCTGCAATCCTGTAGTTTACAGCTACACATGACTTTGCTTTCATGAGAGTGCTTGTTGGAAAAAAAAGAGTAAACATCATCAGGGTACACTTAGGTACAAAGGTTAAGATTTTCTGGCTTCGGTGCTCCTGTCTTCACTTGAGCATAACTTTTACTGTGGGAACCACCAACCAGTGACCAAAAGTGTTTATTGCTTAATTGCTGCTGACTGCTCAGCAAAAGGAGCAAAGGAGACAAACTTCTCTTTATGTTGGTTTGTAAGGTACCACCAAGCAGCTTGTTAAAATTCTGTGATAGGTGTGTAATTATAGGAATTTGCTGGAAAATTCCCATTACCTTACTCAGTGAATTTCCTTCACACTGCAGGATTATTTCTGACAACATCTTTTCCTGTGTTTCTCTAAGTTTTCTTTAAAAGGCAGAGGTGCTTACTTCCCACTTATTTCTCTATTTACTCACTACTAGAAAATATTGGTTTTAATATTCTATTTTGGTAGTCTTTTATGAAACAAATAGAATCAGGGCAACTCACTGCAGCTGGCTGTATGTGATTCACTCATGGCACTGATATGTAGCATTACACTGTAATATTAATAACTCCTGCTTTCTAATAAATTTCTTAAATACGGCAGGGGAAAAAATTTATAACAAGTCTGATTCTGAAAGCTACTGAATATCTTTATCTCTCAGTAAATAGACGAAGATGCTCCTACCTCTCAGAGAGAGCCTTGACACATAACCAGTAGCCTAGAGAAACCATGTGGCAATGGCACTAACTGGAAAAAGCATGAGATGTAAATAAAAAAAATAAGAATTCTAATGGAACCGTAAAAACTGTAACTAAGGTAGTTTAAAGGTTATTTCCTCTGCTTTTAAGAATCCTCTCTTTGTAACCTTCAAAAGCCACAGATTTAGTCTCCTTTCCCATCTGGAAAACAAATAACTTTCATTTCAGCTCACTTGGAAGTGTTTCAGAGCTGCATAAATTCACAAAAAGCTAGGGGGAAAAAATGAGGTAGTTGGAAAAGTAAAACTATCACCTGTTAGAAGAATCCAGACCCACTATTCCATTTCAAATGCCCCAAACTGATCTGCAGCCAGCCAAGACAATATAAATTTTTCTTTTTGTTTTTAGATTCTCCCTTTTGCTCCTGTAGCCCTTAGGCTGGGAGGCTTCTGCAGTTTGAGTTTGAGTCTAAGCAGCTAAACTCACAGCCAGAGTTGATAGACTCAAATTGAGCTAAAGTGTCAGAGCTCGTGGAGGTCTTCCATCCATCACACTTGACACAGCTTTAGCCAAAGCTTCAGCATCCTTATTCCACACATGTTTAGAGACACCATCAAAGACAGAGCAGGGGGCTTCCTGCCTGCATTCGACCACTTGACAACAAATGCAACAACTTAATAAAGTGTCCTTTCAAACACCCTTTGAAGCAGATTTTGAACAAATCTGTATTTCAATGAATTTTCTTGTAGTTCTCAATTTTTATAAGTAAAACTTCTCGGAGGCAGCTTGGGTGCAACAAGGGCATTGAAAATCCAGACAGCCTTCTCATTTATCTCTTTTGCTAGTGTATCCATACACATCAAGAAGCTAGTTCATCGTGGAAGTAATCCAGAAAATTAGGAAAAATAAACATTACACTTTTAAAGTTAAAGACTTTAAAGCTTGTAGAGCAGCTTCTTACTTTACATGGCTCCTAAGCAGGGAAATATTACTCTGCAGAGGGTAAAACCAATCAGACATCATCATGTGACATTTTGCACTTGCAGGTGGTGTACAGGTTAAGACTGGACATCATGCTCTGTCCTGCAGCTGCTGGTAAGTGTCCTGAGGCCATTTATTTAAAGGCCACACCTTTAACTCCATTTCTATTGTACAGGTCTAGAGGCTTGAAGGCAATGGTACAAACATTTAGTAAAGTAGAGGAAATGTAATAAATTAAAAACATTTCTAAAGTGACTTATGAGCAGTTTCCAGTGTTTACAGGAGGGGCAGGGGCTAGTTTCTAAAGATTTCGTGGTAAGAATGATTCATTGTTATGCCAGATCTTCATGGAAGATTAAACAGAACTTTCCTGCTGCTAAGGTAACAAAGTACACACAAAATCAAGGCGTACGAGTATGTGAAAACAGAAGTATAAAAGTACAACTTTGGACAAGGAACATTCTAACTATGATAAAAGATGAATTGTATAGCAAGATACAACAGGGATAGGAGAAAAATAGGGGAGAAAAAGAATATTATGTTCAGGACTGAAAAAGTGCTTGAGATGGCTTCATTTCTCACGTGAAAGGAACAGTCTGTCTGAGGCATATTAGAAGTTTTCTGGTCTTTGTGTTGTTGGTGCCCATCAGTTACTTCTGTGAAATGTTGCTAAGAAGTAGTAAAATCACACAGACTCTGCAACAATTCACATATTTGAAATTTCTAAAGAATTCTTTAGCACTTTTTAAAAATTGTAAGTATCAAAACATGTTGAAAATTACGGTTTTAGAGTTTCATTAAAAGCTCTGATGGTTCTGAGCAATCTTCCTTGGTAGAAATGTGACTGTCATGGCAGGGAGCAAAAGAGTAGAGAAAACATAGTGCTCCAGCATCGACAGAGCTACAGAATATCACCAACTGCTCTCACACTGCAGAACCCAAGAGAAAGATAACTTAAAGGCTCTAAAACATGCAGAATGGCCAAAGTAATGTAATGTAAGTACAAGACTGTTGCTCTTGCTGCATAATGGCCTATTAAAATCTTGGCTAGACACAGCTTGAAAGCACATGAAATAATGCTGTTTGGAGCCCAATCCTCTGCATACATCCTAGAAGCCACTGTATTTTTAAGGTATCATTTTAATCACAAAGGAACCTCCAGGATACATTTTCTCAGTTGTGCTTGAATGCCTGCAGCTGTGTGCTGTACATGCTCTTATGAGTCCTCCTCTACATGCACAACAGGCAGCCCTAGTCAAGATCACCCTATCCCTTGCAAAAAACGCTTTGGATGTTTTATTACTCATCAACATCTCTCAATAACAAGCTCAGATTCACATAAGACTCTGTTTTTCCAGAACTTTCACTGTGGCCAGAGGTTTGCATTAAGAGCATTTCTCAGCTTTCCCCACAGTCAGATTTTAGAGATAATGTCCCAAGACAAAGCTTTTTCTGTTTTGACTTGAATTACTCTGAACCTACTACAAAGCACATGTGTTAAAGCAGGCTCTTGGAAAGAGACAGAGCTGGAACAACTTTGAGAAAGGTTTTGACACTCGCACTCACAAACTTGTGGTATGTGGAGGAAAATGGAAAGGTAGCACTGTTCTTGATTTCAGAATGATTTCTGTACCATCTCTTTAACTAAATAAAAAGAAAACCCCCCCAAAAAAAAAATCCACAGAGAGCCAAGTAAGCCTTCCTTCATGCCATTTAAATCTAAATATACCTAGATAATTCCAGAGCTGTATGAGTCCATTCTTCTCAGCTGCTGCCCTTTAGTCTGCTGCATGGCTGGTTTTAGTATCTGTGGCTGATTTGATTCCCTCCATGAATACTCCCTAATACTGAGGACCTTTGAAAAGAAAAACATTTTCATGTGAAATTCATCATCTGATACCGCTCAGTCAGCTGACCTGCAATAACTGAACCTGGAGATTATTACATCCTTCATGTTCTGTATTAAATCAGTCATCATTCCTTAAACTTACAGCTACAACTTTTAAGAAGTTCCAGAGTTCATTTTCTACTTGTGTGTTTAAAGATCTCACCACTGCTGAAGATGGAGGCTCTAACTGAGGGGCAGGAGCTCAGGCAGGTTTCATTCAGTGTCCAGCCTTCTACCCTGCCTACTCTTTCAGCCCAAGATACTGCAAACAAATCAGGCTCAACAATGGCTGGTTCAGTAGGCTTGCATCCTTATTTCTGCTAATTTGAAAAACCTTTAGTAATCTCCATTACTGCAGAGGGATGGAACCCCCCACAAATCGCATTTCTCCACCTGCAGTTCCAATGAAACCTGAATTAGTGAGCACTCAAGATGTGAAGTGCACTCAGGGAGCAGCTGTAGAGCATTACATTCCTGCCAGCTCTTCCAGGAGGGACCTTCTGCCAAGCCCTTTGAAAAACAATCTACCACCACATTCCTTTTGGCCGTTTTCCAGCTGGTTTTCCATATCTGACCAGTTCTACCCTGACAAGGTGCTTTAG